TTTATCAAGAGGTTTATTTCGAATTTTATCAAGAGGTTTATTTCGAGTTATATCTAAAGAAGGTTATTTAAAGTTATATCTAAAACAGTTATGGAGATTTAAGTTTATGAAGATTTATACCTAAGAGTTTGGTGCTATCCGAAGACCGAGGTTTGGTTCACCTATAAAATATCGTTCAAGTCCCTTTGAAGAAGGCCTGGAAATCACTTATTATAACTACCTCCTGTTATAACAGATAAGTCTTTGTTTTTTTAGAATAAATCATCTAAATTTGAATTAAGTAAATCTCTGTGAATTAGAATTTGATACTACCTTATCTAAAGCTTTGTTTAAATATAATATCTTAATGGTTAGTGATTTTCTATATTTTTATCACTAATCTATAGTCAAGTACAGTAAGTTTTAAATATAGTGGTGCCCAACTTCTTTTTCAAGGTAATTCGAGTTATTTAAAAAACTGACCCACTCCAAAAATCAATTAAGCCTAAAACACTATAACAAATAGATAAAATAACAAGTATCACGTTACAATCTTTGAAGGTAGATTTATTCGAAATAGCAAGGCAACATAAAAACAATTTTCAAAAAATATATTATTGGCGAGATGGCCCGAGAAAAAGGAATTAAAATTCTCAGATTGCCTCCTTACCATGAAAAATTAAATCCCATTGAACTGATCTGGTCACAATTAAATGATTACGTTTCTCGAAACAATACAACATTTAAATTACCTGATACCCGAAATTTGTTTTTAAAGGCAGTTCTAGATGTAAATGGAGAACATTGGAGAAAATACTTTGATCATGTTAATAAGGTAGAAAATTAATTTTGGAAAGTGAATATAGCAATGGAAAACCTGATGGACCCTATAATATATCAGTAACTATAGTAAAGACAGTGACTTTCAAAGATAGTTCTTGAACTTTTTATATTTTTAATTTGTGATTTTAGGTACTGAAGTGTTTCTTTTAATGCCAAGGCACACACGCACACACACACACACGCACACGCACACGCACACGCACACGCACACGCACACGCACACACGCACACGCACACGCACACGCACACGCACACGCACACGCACACGCACACGCACACGCACACGCACACGCACACGCACACGCACACGCACACGCACACGCACACGCACACGCACACGCACACGCACACGCACACGCACACGCACACGCACACGCACACGCACACGCACACGCACACGCACACGCACACGCACACGCACACGCACACGCACAAGCACAAGCACAAGCACAAGCACAAGCACAAGCACACGCACACGCACACGCACACGCACACGCACACACACACACACACAGAGACACACACACACACACACACACACACACCACACACACACACACACACACACACACATACATACATACACACACACACACACACACAGACACACACACACACACACACACACACACACACACACACACACACACACACACACACACACGCACGCACACACACACACACAGACATCAACGCGAAAATAGTCAAAACGGATTCAGGGGACCTCAAAACGTAAAAATCCGTCGAAACCTATATTCCTATACTTTCCTTATATCTGTATACAGATGGGAAAGTAAAAAATTAAACCCTTAACAACATATTATCCTCATTTTTATTTATTGGTTAAATTTGATTCGTTCAATGTTAAAGTGCAACAATTCGGTCGGAAACATAAGGTTTATTTTTATTTTTTGTAAATAATATAACTTTTTCGTTCAAAATTTAATCTACGAAGTGCGTACATATCCTTTTATATGCCGAGACCTAATTTATATTATAGAAACTTATTTTGCAAAATACGCCTATGAAATGTGACGTCATATCCCCATTTTCAATGCACTACTCTTTTAGTCAGACCATAGGCATTAAAAACCACGTGATCTTTCAACAGTTAAACTGGTTGCCTAATGAAACACAAACCTCGTGTTTAATTTTGACGATTAATTTATGAGATATCGATTAGTGACTATAGGGACTCTTTTTGTTCAAGTATGGCCAATATCGAATACTTTCGTGTTATGTGTATTCATTGGCAATTATTTAAAAATAATGTATGATTTCGATAGTTTTTACACTTATAATAAAAGATTCAGAATTATGTTTATTGGTCTGTTTAACTCCAAACAGCTAATTCATACACCTAATACAAAAGCATCACTTTTTGACATTGGCCATTCTTGTTGATAACACAGATTGTAATAATTATAGAAATTACTTGCATGTAAATACTTCACTAAAACATATTAATTTTTGAAGAGAGTCTACTTAGTCCCAAACGTCTTAATTTTGCTGTAAAATAATATATACAATTAATTTTTTATTTTTGTTTTTTTATATTTAATCTTCTTCTGCCGTACTTCATTGAGTTTAACGTAAACATTTTATAACGCTTTGTAATTAAAGCCAGTATGCAGGGTATTATTTAAAATAACAATATTAGCCATCAAAATCGTTTATTAAACTAATAGAAATAACCTTGTAAGTTTTTTGCACTAGTCGAGTAATCATTAAATCGACAGAGTTTTGACAAAAGGGCGTAAGCAGCTTGAACCTATTAATGCACTAGACACACAAAGCATGTTTTAGCTTTATATTTTCATTATTTTTATACGTTTTTTGTGTAAGTCATTTTGACATATCTTAAGGTAATTGTTTGTAGTAAAAATTATAACAAATAAGTTTTAATAAATAAAATAATACCTTTTTGTCGTTTACGCCTTTCAAAAAATATAACATTTTCAAAAAATATCATTTTTTTTAAATGTATTTATCTCGTTTTTGTGCCATTACGTCTTTACCATTTAGTAAAAATAGGAAGAAAATGGCGAGTACAATTCCATTACACTTTCCTTGTTTCACTACCCAGTAATGAAAATGTCGCTTTACTGCTCATTTAAAACCCAATAATAAATTTAAAAATGTTATATCTGAAGAAAATAATACATTTTTTTAACATTTTTAAAAGTTTCAAATTATCAACTACTCAAACAAACAAAAATTAACAAGATGTTGCCCTTCGAGACATCCTAGAAAAATATTAGGCATAAACGACGTGAATGTAATAATATTCAATATGTATTTAAAAACACCTTTTTTGGAGAATAATAGCATTATTGAAATAAATAGAACTATTTAGCCCATTTAAATTGCATGGCGGAATGGCATTTACGCTTTTTAATTTCAATTTATCGAAAGGGCGTAAACGACGTTGCACGTTTTAGCGAAATTATTAAAGAAATATTAGTGTTTAATAAATTAATTGTAAAGTTTAGATTCTATAAGTGCAATTGCATACTTTAAAACCAAAATATCGAACTTGGATTAAAATGTTTGCCAATTTACAGCTTGTAAATATTTGTCGCTTACAATATTTAAAACCTAAATATTTTGCGATCGGGATTTTTGACAGTTAATTTTTTTAAGTGGTATCGTTGTGTTAGGTTAAATATCACATAAATATCTTAATTTATATGGCCGAATTCATAACTAAAGTGTATGCCCCAATGTGGTTTAATAATAAACTAAATTTCAGTTCAACTAGTGGTAGTTTGTATGTATTTATAACTATTGAACTGTCATGGGTATTTAAGAGATGACTTAAAAAGTATTGCGGATACGGTAATCCAAAGAAACGCGTATTTTATACACTACGAAAACATTATTTTGGGTATGATATCAGACACTCGTGAATGGGTTCAGGAACTATCTCTACGAAGAACCTTAAAAGCTAGAGAAACCGTTGAAGTAAGACACTTTGTGTTACCAAACATTAATTTCAGTACTACAGACTACTTTGAGTTAATTTACTGAAATGAGTGCGATGTGATACCGCCTCCTGTTTTAAGGAATTTTACTAATGATAATCTTAGGGACCTTATAAACGAAACCTAAATTCCAGACTTTGATTTTTTGAAGTTCCCTTGCCATACTCAATCCGTGAAGAGATGCGTGAAATTAGTAACAGTGTCATCTTATTTAGTAATTGGTCCATAATCAAGAGACGGCTTTATTCACTCAAGAATAATATCAAAAGAAATTATACCAACATTTGAAAGTAAACGACAGTTTAAAATTCAGTAAATATTTTTTTAATACTATTTTTTTTTGTACTTGATGTGTTAGCTTTTTATATTTGATTTGTAAGCTTTTATGTTTGATTTGTCAGCTTCTTATGTTTGATTTCTTTAGATACTTTTTACCATTTTTTAAATAAATGTGTTGTTTAGTTTTAATCGCGTAATATTTCTTTGTTGATATTTTCACCTTATCTTTTAAAAACAAAAGGATTAAGCATTAGTTAAAAGGGGTAGTAGAGGGCTGAAGATGTTATTTAAAAATATTAAAAATAAAGAGCGTGAATACAATCACTAAAATGTAACTTCTAGTAGGTATATTACGTCAAAATTTCAAACTTTAACTTTTCACCCCTAAAGGGGGCGGTAGATGGATAAAAATGTGGATTTAGAAATTTTTAAAAAATTATGAAAAGTAAGAACAGCAAAACGCAAGTTTTGATAGATATTGTAAACTTAATTTTTATATTTTTTAAAAATATGCCTATTTCGGCACAGCCTATTTGACACCAGCAATATTTTATCAAAAATTTTGTCGTTTAATTGCTTGATTTTTAATCAAAGAATCTTCAGTTTTTCTGTGTCTCACAGACTGACCTAATCGCAAAAATGGTGGAAACACATTCTGTGGATCCCAAAGCGTAAAGATTCGATAAAAACTGAAGGTCGAAAAAATGATTCCTATACTTTCTTTACTAGTTACTGCAAAGCACAAAACTTATTAAAAAATCCGATTTAATCAGTAGCTTCTAATTTCATTAGACTTTCGCTTACTATACAATTTTTTGTCATCTCCCGTAGGTATCCATTGTTACCGGTAACTTTATGTAAATAGGTTTGTTTGTTACCTATACTCTATTGTATAAAAACAAGCATAAATCTTACCATAAATATAAAACAAACGAAACTAGACCACGCCATTTTTACGAAGAGATGCTCTCACTCTCACTGAACCGATTTTAGATGCAACAACTATCACTGAAATCTCATATCATATTAAAACTGTACACAGTGGAATTCCTATCATTGAAAAATAACATTTATAGCCGCACCCCACTTGCAAGAATTCTTGAGCGATTTGCAAACTCAAGGCGGGGCAAAACGGTTACTTTCACACTTATCAAGACATTCAAGTCCCACGTCGTGAAGGCGCACTCTTGCAAACTATTAAAATTGGCCCGGTACTCTCAGTGAAGATGTTTTACATAAGTGTTAATTTTTAAATAATTTTGAAATAAAATGTTTTTACTCATCATATTACTTTCTTGCTAATATATATTCGCATTGCTGATAAAGAGAGTGTTAAATGACGTAAAAGATTGATCGGCGACGCGTTCAGTACTTACTGACTAATTTTAAATATTGCCACCAAGACATAGCAGACACCATTGGGCGATAAAAATACAGTTATTTTAATATAGGAATTTGTCGAGCCTGGTATTCTGAAAATAATTACATCCTGTAGTGTACTATTTCTACTCAAATCGGCAAAAGTTTAAAAAATAATTTTTCTTCTTCTTTTTCTTCTTTAAATAAAATTTCAAGTTGGTATTGTTCGTTTTTTAAATATTTTAACATATTATCCCCCTAATTCCACCTTATACCCCCTTATCTCCCCTTATCACCCTTATCCCCCTTATCCCTTATCAACCCTTACCTTCCTTATCCCTCTTATCACCCCTTATCCTATATTTTCCCCCCTATCCCCTATTGTCCCCTCTTATCGCATATCTTATTCCCATTATTCCCCTTATACCCCTTATACCCTTTATACCCCTTATACCCTTTATACCCCTTATACCCCTTATACCCCTTATACCCCTTATACCCCTTATACCCCTTATAACCCTTATACCCCTTATACACCTTATACCCCTTATACCCCTTATACCCCTTATACCCCCTTGTACCCCTTGTACCCCTTGTACCCCTTATACCCCTTATACCCCTTATACTCATTATACCCCTCATACCCCGTATACCCGGTATACCCCTTATACCCCATATACCCCTTATTCCCCGTATCCCAGTTATTCCCCTTATCCCCTTTATCCTCTTTATCCCCCATCCCCCTTATCATCCTTATCCCCCTTATCCCCATTATACCCCTTATTTCCCTTATCACCCTTATCCCCCTTATCACCCTTATCCCCTTATCCCCCTATCCCCCTTATCCCCCTTATCCCCCTTATCTTCCTTATCCCCCATTATCCCCCTTGTCCCACTTATCCCCCTTATCCCCCTTATTCCCCTTATCCCCCTTATCCCCCTTTCCCCCTTTTCCCCCGTATCCCGACCTATCCCCTTTATCTACTTATCCCAACTTATCCCTCCTTATCCCCCCTTATCCCCTAATTTCCCTTATCCCCTAATTTCCCATATCCCTCAATTTTTTCAGATTTTTTTTCAGAATTAATAGGCTTCATTTTCTTATAGAGCTTGATTTTTACTAGAGATTTAATGTTGATATCGCTTTTCGTTTTTGATATATGATTTTTTTTTAATTTCAACACCCCATCACCCCCATTTCTAATCAAATTTGTTCAAAATCAATGGGCTTTTTTCTCTTATAGAGCTTGATTTTCCTAAAAATTTTAAATTGATATAATTTTTCGTTTTTGAGTTTTTTTATATTTTAGTCTCCAATTTATTTAGATTTTTTTCAGAATCAATAGTCTTCATCTTGTATTAGAGTTTGATTTTTACTAAAAATTTCATGTTGATGTCGCTTTTCATTTTTGATTTATGATTTTTTTATTTCAACCCCTTTTAACCCACCAATTACAATCAGATTTTTTCAAAATTAATAAGCTTTGTCCCCTTATAGAGCTTAATTTTTCCTGAAATTTTCAAGTTGAAATCATTTTTCGTTTTTGACTTTTCGTGCGAACAAAAAACGTGACATCAGACGAACAAAGTAAATCCATAATACATAGTAATAAAGACAAAAGTACTTTGGGACTGTGCCAGTAAAAGTACATTACATCCAAGTTATTCAACGTTAAACCAAAATAAAGTATTAAGAAGCAACCCTCGTACTGCCGGAACACTAATTTTCATAGGGACTTTAAGGTGAAGACTATTGAAAATACAATAGCAGTAGTCTAGAACAATATGGTAACATTCATGTTATCTAGCTCCTCAACAAGGCCAATCTAATAAGAAGAATCAAAACAACTAGTTGTAAACCCATTAGGCACTCGTGAAGTTTGCCGCACTACACCACTGCACTTATCATATGTCCATATTACTCTATTATCAATATTCACTGGGCATCATGGTACAAACTAGATTCAAATAACATGCTACGTAGGGATTGGGGAGTTGCTGAAAGGGAAGGTCTTCACAAATCTAATTCGCAAAATTGTTCACGTAAATCTCTATTAAATTCAGACATACACATTTATTAAACATTGGGTCAATAGGCCAGTTGGAAATAGAACTATTAGTTCTAGTGCATATATATTTTCGTATTCAGATAGTTTCTGTCATAAAGACTGATTAATAATTCAAAATTTCTAATTGATAATGCTCGAAAAGGTCGTGAATATTAAAACAAACACTTTCAGGAGCTATATTCCCCTCCGGATATTTAATTACAAGTTGATAAGGAAAAGAAACCACAATAAATTTAGTTAAAAGAGGGCGAATAGTTTCGGTCATACATGACCATCATCAGGCGCCTGCAAGAAAAGAACAGCTTGAGGCTAAACTTAAAAATAATAATTAACAATTGACAATGAGTTAAAGTGTTAAGACAAAGTAAATAGAATATTATAAATTGATAACTGTTATTAATAATAATAATTAAAGTTACATTGATAAAAAGATAATAAGTAACAATACATATTTTTGTTAAACGATTTGTAGTAAAAGTTCTTCAGAAGGGACAAGACAAAAAAAATTGTGCATTTTAAAATATATACGGTCTCATAAGTATCATAAACACATTACAAAACTACTAAAAATATACAATTTTTCAAATCCATTTGTGTTTATTTAAATTTAAATTAAAATATCCAAACAATCTCTGTATCCGTAACGTGTGGAGGGTGGGGTGATCTCACTGCACATTTGCAATAACACCTATGTGAGCGCGACTGCCCGCGTCTACCACATAGATAAATTAATATAAAACAAGATGAATTTATTAAATGCCCGCCACTGTCAACACGGCGTAGTTCCCAGCATACTATTAGTTAGCGCCACCATCGCAATAGTATGAAAGCGATGTTGCCGGTTTCCGTAAACTTTCATGAGATGATAGTTATTTCAAATTCATTTTATTTTAATTTTTTATCAATCTACATGCGCACCATACCGTCCATACAATGTCCATACTATTGCTGAGATTTTTAAAAGACGGGATTGACAACCTTGTAAAAAATGAAAAACGTGATGGCGGAAGGCGGGATATGATGATAAAATAAAACTTATTTTTATTTTATGATGTAAGTTACATAGGTAGGTAAGTTATTTTTAGGTTAAGAAACAAACGGTGCTGATTTGATGTAATTAGTAAGTATTAACTTTAATTTAATATTAAGTATTTAAGGACTTTGTTTATCATTGTTTTCTTAGCCTTAACGATATATAGGTATCTAATTTCATATTTCAACAATTCCTTTTCTAATATTTGAAACAAAAATGTCTGGCCCGGGTATAGTTAAGTATTCTTGTTCAGCTCCTAATTGTTTAAATAAGTATTATTCTAATATTCAGCAAGTTGGTTATTCAAATAAAGCATTTTTTCATTTTCCTTCTGATGTTAAAGTTCGCCAGAACTGGTTTAAGAATTTAAATTAAACTTTAGATGATAATAATACTCGCTATCTTTGTGAAGATCATTTTTTGCCAGTCTTTTAGTAAGGTTTCCTCAAAACGTAAACGACTAGTTGAACATTCTTTACCAATTTCTTTAGATAATTATGCATCCAGTTCAAATATACAACCCGAGAGCCAGATTTCAGAATATATTGAGGCTGAAGCACAAACACAGCAGCATAAGATAGATTTGCTAATCAGCAACGAAAATCAAGAAATTAGTTGCAAACGTAAACGAAATATTAGTGATGTACAATTTGAACAACCCTCCATACGGAGAAAAACTGTTTTGCAACAAATAAATGAAAGTAAAGTCAAAAATTTAAGTCCCAAAGAGAAAAAGCTGTATTTTATTAATAGAGAACAAAACGTTAGAATTTGTAAGCTAAAGAAAGCTCTACGTGTTTCCAAAAATAAAATCAAGAAAGCCTTTGAATTATCCAAAACTCAGTTATTTTCAGATTTTAATAATAAATTAGATCCGATTGGAATTAAATTCTTTAAAAGTAGTTTAGAAAATTGTAAGAGAAAGAAACCCTCTTGGACCACTCAGAATAAAATTTTTTCTTTAGCATTATATAAAAATGGTCCAAGAGCATATAATTTTTTAAGAAAATGCATTTCGTTGCCTAGTAAATCTACTATCCAACAAATTTTAAGTGATTTACATTTTGAAACGGGGATAAATGATTCAGTGTTTTCCAGATTTAAAGAAATTGTTAGAAAAATGCCAGAAATTGATAGGAATTGTATTTTAATGTTCGACGAAATAGCTCTAACCGAAAAACTCACTTTTGATACAGTTAATGACAAAATTGTTGGATATGTTGACTTGGGAAAAAAATTAGGTAGACGCCCAGAAGTAGCCGATCATGCTTTAGTTTTTATGATTCACGGTTTAAGAAGAGTTTGGAAACAGCCTATAGCATATTATTTTACACGTCATGCTATAAATAGTAAAGATCTTATTGAGTTAATTAAAAGAGGTTATTACGGCTCTTCAAAATATAGGTTTAAAGGTTTTAGCAACTGTTTGTGATTTGATGTTTTTTTCCACACCCACATGGATATAGCTATTCTACTCACAGACTACAAAATGAAAAAGTAAGCCATTGGGTTCAAGTCATATATCCATTCTACCTAGTAAGAACACTGCATGGATATGAAATCCACCAGTCACAGTTCATTATTTGTTCACTGGGCTATTATTAATTTTTTAAATTTTAAATGTCACAATTTTGTCAAACTAATTGTCAGTATATTTTTTAGTTATTGAAATTAATTATGAAAATAAATTAGTAAGTCATAAATTATTTTTAAATTGG